ATATCTATTTTTGCTGTTTGGGTTTCTGAAATGCTTGACTCTACAAGTTGATGTTTCTCTAAATTTAGGAAAATTTCAGCCATTATTTTTCAAATAAATTTTCTGTCCCAATCTTTTCTCCTTTCCTCCTGGGACTCTAGTTACATGTACGATTATCTTGAGGTTATCTGGGAATTCACTGAAACTTGTTCACTTTTTTTCAATATTTTTTCTTTATGTTTCCTAGATTGGATAAATTTTATAGCTGTTTTTATTAGTTCTCTATTGCTACATAACAAATTATTGCAAAATTTAGTGACATCAATAATCATTTATCTCTCACATTTTCTATGAATTCAGAATTCTGAATCATCTGAAATTCTGAATTGTTCAGTGGTTTTAGCTCAGGTCTCTCATGAGGGTGCAGCCAGATGTTGACTGGGTTGTAGTCATTTGAAAGCTTGATTGAGGCTGGGGAATCTACTTCAGTGACGGCTCACTCACATGGCTAGCAAATTGGTTTCTCTTCACATCAGTATCTCCATGGGGGCTGTTTCAGCATCCTCATGTCATGGAAGTTTATTTCCTTCAGAATTAGCAATTCAAGAGGTCAAGGCAGAATTTGCAATGCTTTTATGACCTTGGAAGTCACACACCTTCACTTTTGCCACAGTCTATGGATATTTGCCACATAAGTCAACCCTCGCTCAGTGGGGTAGGTGAACTCAGAAGGGCATGAATACCAGGAAGCAAAGTTCAGAGAGGACTATCTTGGAGGTTGGATACCATATTCTATTTTCAAGTTCATCCATCCTTTCTTCTGCAACCTGCACTCTTCTGTAAGCTCATTGAGTATTTTTTTTTCTTTTTTCTGTCAAATTTCAGAAAGTTTGCTTGTACAGTTCTTACATTTCCATTTGTTTCTTTTGAATAGTTTCCACCTCTCTGATAGGATTACCCATCTCCACACTCATTATGATTATCTTTTCCTGTGGGAGAACAGCTCCCGCAGGTCCAGGTGTTCCCTCACGTGGAGTCGGAGTCAGGTGAGGAAAAAACTCGCGGAGACACAGGAGCGCTTTCTCAAGAAGAGGTGTCTCACTTTATTTTACAGCATGCCCCTTTTTAAACCGGGCAGCTTAACCATTGTTTCATAAGTATCAGGGTTTTACTTCCTCATAATTTTTATGCCCCAGGGTACAGCTATACCTTTTCTATGCTAAAGACTAACTTATCCCAACTATGCCCAAATCCCTCCACCTACAATGACTGCTACCAAGGCCTGAACCTTTACATAATCGCCTAAAGGATGGTTACCATGACCACCCAGCATTTATTCTAAAAGCTATTGTCTAAGCAGGATCTTAAGATTTACAGGGTGTGTACTTTGACCTTTACTAAGAGACTAGTAGTGTGACTAAAATTGCCTTTAGTATATAAAATATAATTATTGTGATATATCTATTTGAAGGGGTGTAAGATCTTCGTCCTACTGGGGGGGGCATCCAAAGGGGAATTTAAATTCTTTAAGATATAAAGCAGTATCTGTTTCTCAGTCAGAGCTTCAGAATTTGTCACAATTGCAGTGTGTTTGGCCATGTCAGATACTGAGGCGCAGACCGGCTCCCGGCATTTTCCTTTAATTATTTGGACATATTTATAATAGCTGTTTTAAACCCTTTGCCTGTGACTACCAACCTGTGAATCATCTTGGGACTGGTTTCTACTGATTGATTTATTTTTTTTTTTCACTGTGGTTCACATTTTCCTATCACTTCACATATCTATGGGGTTTTTTTGTTTTGTTTTTTTGGTATACTGGATTGTCAAGGTTTCCTTGATGAGGCTCTGGAATCTGTTGTCTTCTTCCTGAAGAGTTTTTGGTTTTGTTTTTGTTTTTCTTCTAACTCACAGTTAAATTTGGTGGGACTTACATGCCAAACCATATCTCCCTGTAATGAGGAACAGTTAAAATTTCTTCTTAGTTTTTTTCAACCTTCTAGTTAATTCTTGGTGCTTTCTGCTGGGTTCCTTGGAGTCTCCCATACACATACGTAGTTCAGAAGTTTTTCTAGGATTTGAATATAGTTTATGTGTAGATTTTGGGATTCCTCAACTGTGGTCCCTTCTTTCTGGAATTTCCTCAATTTCTGGCCTCCTGCCAGCTCTGTTTTCTGACACCTTAAGCTACTAAGATTGTGCTGCCTTCAGAGCCCTCAGAGGAAAAGCCATATAAATGTGTACCTTATTCAGAAGAGCTTGTTTCTTTCATGAATTATATCATTTCCAATTTTCTGATGTTGGTGGTTCTTCTGCACATTTAAATAACTGTTTTTATACTTGGTCCAGAGATTGTAATTGTTATATGCTGGAGGGTTAGCTTCACCAAAATGGAACTTTGTTCATTCATGTTTGAGTGAGACACAAAATAGCTCATTAGAAGCTTTGAGTCCCTGAGCCTGTTCAATGATGTGTTTCACTGTAAGGTGTTGACAAAAAATCAGGATGTTTTGTTGGGTGAGGTTATCTTAATAGTCAGTATCCATAGGTCCCCCTCCTTTTGGGTTGTTTGGTTTTCTCAGTGACTAACCCTCCAATTTTCTTGTATGGCTAGGGATGTGATAGATATCAGCCTATTTTTGAACATTCCAGGAGCCTAATGGACTTGGAGGTCTCATTGTTTATTACATAGAGTTTCATGAATCCCTCTGTTTTAAATATGGTCTCTTGTGATCTAAGACATACTTCATTTTTTGTTCAACATTTCCACAGATCAAATTAACTCTTTTCCCCAAGAGTTTGGAAAGTGTGTTTTTTGCTGTGAATGGTAGAAGAAATGTAGGGGCCCAAGAGCTCCTTATAAAAACATTCAACCAATGTCTTATTCTCTGCTCCACATTTAGAAGTATCTGGTAATCTAATTCCTGAGCATTTCTGGAATTCTGTGGTAAGAATTAGATTTCTTCTTATTGTCTTCTCTCATGCAAATCTGGGTTTCAGGTCTACCCAGTCTTCTAAGTCAGTAACCATTTGTCCATCTGTTCCTAGATTCTAAGATTTAGTTGACAGTATTTCTCTCTTTCTTTTTGAGGATATATGCCTTTGTTTCTTTTCTGGTGACTTTAGATAAATTCCATGAACTTATTTCCTACTCCACCTGTTTTAAAATAATATTTATTGTTTCTTGTATTTTTAAATAAAAGCAAACTGCATTCATTAAGCCAAATACCGTCTTTTTAAACTTAAGTTAATAGCACTTTTACAAAAGTCAGTTATGAAAGCATAGGTGTCAAATGACTAAACTAATGTTGAAAGTAAATATCAACTCTACAATCACCCCTGGTGTTTCTCTAGCTATTGTTCCTTAAAATAGCAGGGGGAAAAAGTGGGCTTACCATGTCTTTCAATGTAATATGCTTGCTTTGGACTTATGTTGTAAAAGAATTGCCCATAACAGACAAGTATCTACATGCAGTGCTGCCACTTCAAGACTAGCCTAAAAGAGGCGTGAATAAAAATGGCCTAGCAACACTTCCTGCGCATGTCTGCACTGGTCAGTGTAGGCCAAGGGAAGCGTACTAAGTGAGAACTGGACTTTAGGGAGTTTTATTTGCTTATGAACTTGATTTTCTAACATGAAGATTAGTGAGTTCCTTCTCTGAAAAGTAAGACGTCATATGAGCATTTTTAGTCTCTCACCAAAAAATTAAGTATTTAACTGAATTTGTATGAATCTACATATACTTGTTATTTTTAGGCCTTTTGTAAATTGAGCATGTGCTCATCTTCATAAAATTACCTGTGAGAAATAGTTTTCATATTTGTTTTTTCATTTCCAATCAACTAAGGATCACATTGTTATCACTAATTGATTAGAATTTTTGTTGTTGGTGGTAGTTTATCATTATGGCACGAAAGCTCTTAAGCGTAAGAAATAAATCAACAAATGAGAGAAAAATATTGGACCTTGTTTACTTGTGTTATCAGGAATGGGGTCGCACTGAGAAGAGCAGTGCATGTTGGAGGACAGTCAGGGAAAAAAAGACTAAAAGTAACACCTGTGAAGTAAGATTAAATAAAGGGCCTAGAACTATTTTAGCCAGAAATGAGATGTGATGTAATAATTGTCTTTATATATAAAGATTTATTGCAGAATATAATGACTAATTGCTGTTCATCTGCACTGAAACCTGAAAAGAAAAAGTTCAAGGGTAGAAATAGAAATAGTATATATTTAACCAATATTTAGAATGATAGCTTGAAGGTTGATGGACAGACATTAGAATGCTTGGGATGGGACGTATCTCTTGGGAAAAGGACAGAGCTTTAAATGTAGCAATCTGCTCTGACATGAATGATGACAAGTCTTGCCTTAAGGCAGAGGGCTGGACCGGTTGACTTCCGCAGGGCCCTTCCAGACCTGTAATTCTCTGGGTCCCTTCTGTTGCTAGCCTTCGGAGGCAGGGAGTGAACCGAGACACAGCAAGTACCTGCCTTTTCGGGAGCTCCAATAGTACCAAAGGAGGCAGCAGCACAACAGCATCTCTTACAACAGAAGACTTTACTCAAAGGTGAGTCAGGTCAACGTGAACACAGGCGCTTTCCTTTCTTCCAGACTTCACTGGGTTCAGGCACAAGGCGCTGTGGGGGATCAGCGACCACAGGACGCCCTCTCCAGCCACCAATATAAGCTTTGTTAGAGGGACGCACAAGGGATGGCTGATTAGCTGGTGGTAGGTAGGAGGCACTCGCCACGGAGACACGCTCAAGGAGGGATGAGTTATGCCACCAGCCAGGTCCCTTTCTCACCATCCTGCTGAGCCGTCTGGATCCATGTGCTCTTAGAGCGCGCAGGGCGCCCGCCACTCCCGGAGCTAGCGTCCCACCGCGCGCGATCCCTTCCAGGCTCCCGCTCCCGTGGGAGGGCGCGTGGGATGATGCTCTGGTCCTGTGCCCTTCCCAAGCTCCTGCATCCGGAGCCGCCCTAGCCGGCACCGCAGCAGCCACTGCCAGGGAGGGAGAAAGGAAAAACGGGAGGGGGGCTGGAAAGGCTCCGCAGAAGGAGGCGGGGAGGTGGGGAAACAAGGAGCAAAGGGGGAGGGAATCTCTCTCGCGCGTTGTGCCTCCGCCTCATCTCTCCTGCTGGCAGCGAGTCGGGCTCTCCCTCCACACCCTCTCCCAGCTCCTCTCCCCCTTCTCTGCCCACCCTCCCTCCAGAGCGTGTGGACAGGGAGCCGCAGCCCCAACACGGGCGAGGGCGCTGGGGGGAGGCGGTGGCGGTGGGCGTGTGCGTGTGTGTGAAGGGCACCACCTCTCGCTCGGCGTTTGCAGGCGGCAGCGGGCGGCGGGGCTTCTCGCTCCAGCAGCAGCGGCGACAGCGGCAGCGGCTTCCGGAGTCCCGCCGCGAAGATGCTCAAAGTCACGGTGCCCTCGTGCTCGGCCTCGTCCTGCTCTTCGGTCACCGCCAGTGTGGCCCCGGGGGCCGGGAGCCTCGTCCCGGATTACTGGATCGACGGCTCCAACAGGGATGCTTTGAGCGATTTCTTCGAGGTGGAGTCGGAGCTGGGACGGTAAGGCGGGGGGCGGCGGGCTGGGGTGTGCAGGGGCGCCCTGGACCTGGTGGAGCCCGGCGCCCTGCGCGCTGACGCCGGCTTCTGGGGAAGCCCACGGCACGCACGGGGGCTGTCCCTTTCGCAGGGACAGCTCTCGAGGATGCAGGAGCTGGCCTCCCTGCCCTTGGATTCTCTCCGCCTAGTGTCAGAGAGAGAACTGAGCACCATTCACGTGCAAGTCGGGTCTTCCCTGGAGCGCCCAGGCTGGTGCAGCTGCTAGCTGCAACCCACTGTCTCCCACTCTCTCTCCTCCTTGCTGGCTGCCACTTCCCTTGGGTGACAGCCCCCGCTGCACCTGGGCCATGCTTTCCCATTTGGTGTCTTAGCTCTGTATTATAGCTTGCCAGAGGGTCCTGTTTATCTACTTATTTTATAGGGTGAGGGCGGAGGGTGCCCCTCCAAATCATGATAGAATTATTAAATTAGATTCTTCCCCCTTGCCCACAGCAAGCTCTCCAAAGCAAGTGGCACTAGAAATTAAACTCAAATACTAGCTTCCCTGCAGAGTCTGCTCAGAGTGAGGGGTAGGGGGTGGGG